GACATTTTATCCGAGGTATGATCGATGCTTTATCCGGGGTATATTAATAACCAATCAAAACGAACTTCCACTATGCTTAGGGGGGTATGGTTAATAAATATAGGGGGTATAAAAAATAGCCCCCTAAAAATATTGCTATATATAAAAACAGTATTAGTATTAGAGCTTATTAAAAATGTACACCTGCACAGCTATACACCTTTTTATGTTTTTTTAAACCAACCCTGTGGTATTCACAAAATTTTATTAAGATAACCTCTGTTGTATTCTTAACAAAAAATGCTTCTCTCGCTTAGATTTTAATTTTAAATTAGTCCTAACCCTAACTCTAGCCTCTAATCTTCTAATTCTAACTATAACCTTAATTCTAACCTTAATCCTAACCTAATCCTAATTATTGTTTATACAGTCAACTCTGTCTATTCCGAACTGTCCGTTCTTTTATGTAAAATGAGTTCTAAAGTTCGGTTCTCAAAGAGGTATTATATGCTAATCCGAACTTTATAATAAAATTTACAAATTTCTTAGAGTTTTAAGTTCGGATTAGAGAGAATTTAATAGTGTTCGGATTAGAGAGAGTTGACTGTACTTGTTAATAGGGTGCACAGCTGCGCAGGGTGCATAAAATTAATAAATCCTTAGTATTAAACATAGTATATATATATGTTTAATAATCTTAAAAATTTAAACGTAAATCACATGATGTAAGTATAAAACAGTAGTATCTCATGTTAACAGAAAATCCAAGTTGGTTTGGCCTTATATGCGATTTTAAATTCCAAATAAAACTATATTAAATTTTTAAGAAAAATTTAATACTGTATTTTCGCGAAATAACGCGCAGAGGTGTAATTTCAAATTTTGGCCCAAATTATGCTTAATTCGGGCCATTATTCTAAATAACGCTCATGAGCGTTATTACGCGAAAATACGGGTAAACGTAATAAAAAATATAAAAAGAATTGTTTCATTTATTAGTATATTAGTTATGTGATCAAAATGGGTGTGATTGGTTAACGCAATCTTTATATCGTGACTTATTCTAAACTTTATGATTTTAAACCCATTGCTATTTCACCGCGTACTTTTCGCAATTATGGCAAATTATCTTGATTTTTCGGATAGGCACAGAGATTTAGAAAACTCCAAACTTCGAGTTTATGCTAAAACTGCGGTACATAGCAGTGTTGTTCATAAAATGCTTGTTTGTGCTTTAAGGGGCAAGGAACGTAAGGACGTTGTTTTCTCAAAGGTATATTCTCGATTTACTTGATCAGCCTAAAATTATTATAAGTTATCACATACATGCGTATTCTACATTTAAAGGAAACGGTGTTAGAACTTTTAGAGATAACACAGGAAGGTGATCTGATTTCTATTATTGAACAACCCGTGTTTGGCACGATAAAGGATTTAGCTGTCCTCCGTTGTCACTTTTCGAGTCCTTTACTATTTGATCCGGTTAATGGAACTGCACAAATGCATCTTGGAGATGATATATCTGAATTACAGCATCTTAGAGTGATACCAGGGCAAGATGTTCTAGTTTGTTTGTCCGATTCTGGAGTTTTATCATTTATAGCATATACAGAATGTCCTTCAGCGAATATGCATTTTAATGAAGGCCAACATAGTGTTCATAAAGGGAAAAAAAAGGCTGCTACTCCAGTAATTGGATCATGTGTTGAAACGTCTAGAAAGACTGGGAAGTTTCAAATAATAAAAGAGGTTAGAACCAATATATAACAATTTAATTTAAATAAATGAGTTATATTATTTAAAATATATAAATATATTACGATCTTCGTGATAAAGATTCCTTTGTCGCAACCTGGTTTTGACTATCAAAAACTTGGCCGATTAGTGTGCATAGATCCTTCGTAAGTAAATATTTGTTGATACTGCCGTTTTATCCCATGAGGTAACAACATAATGATTGATATTATGTAATTTTTACCCGAATCTCTAAAGTGGTTGTCTTATTGCTGTGGCTGCATGGCAGAATATATTCCAATTGTTTTCATTACATCGTGGTCCAAAAGTCTCTTTTGATCAAATAAGTCAGGTATGACTTGTGATATGTCATGAATGTTATATATTCGATTTCACGTATTATTCATATTAAATTTTTTTATTGGTAAGACAAAAGAATATCCACAAAGCGGAATAATATGTAGTATGACATTTTTATATCCATCAGATAAGACGCGAATCCTATTGGCAATGACCGTATATGAGTAAGCCTTCCTTGCTGAAATTCATGTTTGTTTGTGAATTAAATTCGCTAAAATGGATTTATCATAGCGATTTAGATAAGCAAACTAGCATTGTAATATATCAATTTTGGGCAGAAGACGCTCCTGAAAGAAATATAACTTCATTTTCTAAATTACTTTTACGCAAAGGTATTACCGAAGTTTTTGATTTGTGTTAAATGTTCATTGTATTGTATTGATTCTTTTTAACATTCGCGATTATTTATAGACGAACCACCTCCATTACATCTTATACCTCTTCCGAATTATCCTGAATGTTTTTTGCTAGTTAATGTGCGAATTATTGTAAATTCTTATATTTTACATGCAGTCAAACCTCTCTAAGTCACATCCTTGAAATCATAACAGGCTTGATATTGATCAAGATTGTTTATATAATGAGAAATATTTAGTGCGCATGTTTAGTGAAGGTACACTTAGAGAGGTTTGATTATACAAACATATGGGGGGGTGTCAGTAGAAACCAAGCAAATTGTTTTTAGTTTTTTTTTTAAATTTTAAATCAAAATATCTCAACAACTATTAAACCAAACTTGATAAAATTTTATTTATTTTAATTTTATAACTACATAGAATTAAAATAAAAAAATTTTTATTAAGTTTGGTTTAATAGTTGTTGAGATATTTTATTTCAAAGTTTTAAAAAAATTTACTTAGAAACAATTTGCTTGGTTTCTACTGGCACCCCCCATATATGTATTGGACCATCGACATTAACGTTAGCATTACTCACATTATAACAGGAACGTGAAACTTGTTTTATTCAAGCAAAACGAATTATGAATGGAATTACTGATTTTTATCGAGAACCATTACCTTTTCCCGAATGTAAATTTACAAATCATTTAATTTGCTTTCATTTGTTTGATAAGGCATAATGTTTAAAATTCATAAGGTGATAATATTCACCAATAAGTATTCATTAGTTCTTATGACTGCGTTCGCTTATCCTGCGGATGCATTTGTGTCGAAACATTCGTCTCAACAATATGTTTACGCCGGTAAAGAAAATGGTGACTTCTATCGAATTGACATAATTTCAGACGTCCAGATCGTGTATACCCTTTTGCAGAAGGGATTAAATTCAATTGGAACCGCTATGTCCGTGCTATGCTTTGACCCTAATGTTGGGGAATTTGTCATTATAAGCGGGGAAATGAGCGATGGTGCAGTTGTCCTTGTATGGATTCGAAGTTTTTTAATACACATTTTAATGTAACTTATTATAAATCAATAATTCATATTTATTCTTTAGGTTTGTCCGGATTCCAAGACAAAAATAACTTGTGATATACCCAATTGGGCACCAATATTAGATTTCCAAATGCTGGATCTCCATCAAGAGCGTCATGATGTTATTTTTACTTGTAGCGGACGTGATAAATACGGTTCTATTCGAGAATTAAGAAAAGCTGTCGGTGTCAATGTAATAACACGAACGGGACCTGATTTTCATGGGTAATGAATCTATCAACTTTTATTTAAAAAAAATCTTATCCCATTTGGAGATTTAATGTTGTGGTTTCATCATAAATAATAGAGTCAATGCGCTTTGGAATTTAAAGTACAGTAATGATGATAAAGCTGATTCTTTCTTGGCTCTGTCATATGCCAATTCTACGCGTCTAATGAATGTTAGTCAGGGGGAATTACATGATATTAGTGAATACAGTGGGCTTGATTTGGAAGTGAGCTCCTTATGCGTCGCTTCTTTTGGTTCCGCTCCCGGTTTTGTAGTTCAAATCCATCGTTTAGAAATTGTTGTATCTAAACCTAATGTAGGATTGGGTATGTATAGTTTTGACTTTGATTTTTATCATTTCAATATTATATCAATGATATTTCATTATAATTACAAAGAAGCTATGGTTGAAAATACATATGTCACTTCAAGCCGGTGGACGCCACCCGAAAACACAGTCATTGATGTTGCTGCGGTATATGATTCGATCGTCGTTATTGGCTTATCAACCGTCAACGGAAGCATCATCATCCTCCTTCGCTTAGATCTCGATGATATCACGTGAGTATTTATGCACTTCGAATTGTATTATGTTTATTATTATTATATATTTATTTGCTTTTCTCTTAAATAGAAATCATGTGACATTTACTAAAGTGACTCAATTCAGCTTTGACTGTCAATTATGTTTTATTCGATGTATAGCACCAAGGTATTTATTAATTGATGTTCTGCAGAATTATTGAATGCATCAACATTTCTGATTTCGAGTTTTTCATTTGACTCAAGTGCTCTTGTGCCTTATCCTCTCTGTGTTATTGGGACGTTTAAGCAAAGTATTAAGTTCTTATCATTAAATCCAGATAATTATTTAGAAATGTTACATGAGGAGCTTTTGGGTGAGTTTCTATATATATTTTCCATGTATTTCTATTTATTTAGTGCGTTCGTGTATGTATATAATTTTGCTTTTAGTGGATTATTCTATTATGAAAGTCAACATACCTGAGTCTGCATGTTTTATTGGAAGTATAGAGAAACCGTTCTTCTTAGTTGGTAATCATAGTATCTTGTGGTTATAATCTTTGATGTTTTATACAGATATTTATTTGATATAATTTTGTAATAGGACTTAGGGAGGGTACAGTCATTTATTATCAATGGTCTTGGTCTTTAGGTAATTATAAATTTTATTATCTTTAGAAATATTTATGTTAAAAATTTCCTTCTAATATATTTGTTAATCAGCTGAGAACAAACCACATCTCGCAAACCCGGTGGTCAGACGAATTGGCACATTACCTGTCAAGTTTATTGTACCTGATTCAAGTCAAACAGCATTCATTGGAGAACAAAGCGATTCCAACACTGTGCTGGCATTATCGGACAGACCCTGGCATATAGAGCATTCACATCATACCGGATTGAATTTTGTATGCGTGGCATTTGAGCATTATGAGCATGTATGAATCAATTTAATTAAAAGACACTACTTTTTTTTTATGTATGTAATCGATTTTTATTATTTACATATTTTATAGGTGCAAGATGCCACAGTTTTCCGTTATGCTGATTTATCACAGGGTTATATGTTTATTTCGCAAAACTGTCTCAATTTCGTACAATTAAATAATTTCACAAAAAACAATATAAGAACGATACCTGTACTAGACGTATGTAATATCTATACCTTCATTCGAGCTTTAATTTCAATTCTAAGTTTTATTTCTACAATTAGACACCACGTAGATTGTTTTATGATGATTTCAATAAATTATTAGTAGTCGCATGCACAAGTTGTAAAGATGACTCTCTCATTTCTGTTTTAAAACTTATCGATCCAGTAAAGTGAGTGGTTTATTTAAGTTAACACGAATATTAGAAAGCTCTCAAGGTAATAAATCTTATTTTTAGTGGAGATATCATACACGAATTTAAAATGCAGGATGAAGACTATCCTGACAACTTTGAAGCAGTTTATTCAATCACAGGTATTTAATTTAATTTTCATTATTTAATAATTGATACTCTTTATGAAATTAATTAGTTCATTTCACGATTATTAGGATGGCAGTTCACAATTGAAAGACAAGAATATCGTTGGATATGCGTTGGGATTGGTGTACATGATGCAGAAGAAAGGCATATGATCGGGAAAATTGCGCCCACAGGGGGGCGGCTTATGATTTTTTTGATAAAAAAAACACCGGTTGTCCAAGTAAGTTCTTAGTTCTCTTTATCATATATATGTTCAATTTATGATATTAATGATTTAATTTCTTAAAGGGCTCTGGATTTAAATATGAATTACGGAAAATCAACGAGATTGATGTTAATGGAGCTGTTCATGCAATATGCCCATTGAGTGAGACGTATATAATCCTTCAATGTTTTTCTTTGTTAATAAATGAGATCATGAAATTTATTCATTAATTTATTATTATTATCGATAGTTACATTCTTATCGGGGCTGGAAAAACTTTGAACTTACTGCGGCATTACTTCGAAGAAAAAAAGTATATATTTTGATTTTTAGTATAATAAAATGGTTTGTTCCATTTTTCATAACATTTTATGTCATATTAGATTAAAAAAGGTTCATAGTAAGGAACTTCGGTGGCCTATTTTGTCAATAAATGCTTATGGAAATCGAATATGCGTTGGAACGCAAAAAGGATCTCTGACATTTTATGATTTTAATCCTGAGAAAGAACTTGAACCATTTACTTTCTTAAAAACGTAAAAATGCATTCATTTGATTTAATATTATTCGTTTTTTTTTGGTATGGTATGTTAATCCACTTTATAAATTTTATTGTAGAGAAAGATTGACACGTTTAATTTCCGATTCAATTATGCTAAACGAAAATTTGGCAGTTGGGGCTGATAAATGTGGAAATATATTCGGTTTATTATATAATAAAGGTATAACTTTCAGTGCACGCATCATATTCTGAACTTGAAATGTCTAAAAAAGTTACTTGATTCTACAGATGATCCAAGTATTGAACCATGTTTGGAACCAGTTTTTTCATTTCATGAAGCTGAAATTGTTTCACGGTTACGTGTTGGATATCTCGGCTATCGAACGGAAACGATAAATAAGCTCTCAGAAGCGTCGTCGGACCACAATTCTGAAGTCAAAGCGCTTGATGATTTGGGATGGGATATAAACCATGATCTTACATATCCAGTTGCAACAATAATTGGTTGTTCTCTTCTTGGAAGTGTACTTCTTTTCATGCGAATCAGTATAAAATCATATCAGCTTTTGTCTGCTTTACAATCCGTTCTTGAAAAATGGCCGTCGACACGTCCATGCTTAGGCAAGTTTTTCTAAAGGTACTAATGGCTTTATAGATAGATTTTTTTTTTACTAAATTTTTATTATATTCAGGTAATAATAACGTAAGATTTAGATCAGATAGTAATAAGACCAACTCTATCAACGTTATTATTGATGGCGATATGGTATCCCAATTTTTACGTTTGTCTCGATATGAACAACTTAGAGTTATTGAGCACAACCCGGAATTAATCAAGGCTGGGTCAACTTTTATTCATGGGGATAAATTTGAGTCATACGAATATGAAAAACAAACACGAGACACTTTAGAATATCCTTATGATATGGAAGATCAACCCATGACTCCAGAACATGAAGATGACGATATGTATATTGAAGACGTACATGATTTTGATGATACTTTAGATATGATTAGAGAAACGAAATTTTATAGAGATAATGTTAGATCGGTCTCGGTAGAAGAAATAGTAGAAGCCCTGCAGCTCGTATTGTCGGAGTTAAATATGCAGGTTTCATGATACATCTTGTAATATTAGTTAATTATAAAAATTATAAATTTTGCACAATGACTTTTCTTAGCTCAAAAAAGGAAAAAATTGAATTCGGTGAGCTTCAATAATTATTAGGTCTATAATATTTATTTATGTATTTATTCATTCTTTCTTTTAATTAAAATAAATATAAGCTATAAACTTTTTAATTCCTTTAAAGTTTCCTTTAATTTGTCATGCATTTCTGTGCCTTCAAAATTTTTTGTTTTACCTATTAAACTTGTTAATAAACTTTTGGCCTGGTATTTCCAATCTTTACATACCAATGTGGTTGATACTTCAGTTTGTGAATCTTCTGATGTCATTTTTTCTTTACTGTTCTTATGAACAATTGTTAAGTCACCAAGGTTTTGATAGGCTTCCACAACTTCTATCGCTGTATTTGCGGCTTGTTTAAATATGTCTTCCGAAGTTTCTAATCTTGGATTATGTAAAATACATCGATATGCTCTCAAATGAGACTCGAGAGCTTTATCGTATTCTTTTTTCCAAAACCAGAATTGTGCGCAAAGCTGCCATATTCGTGGGTGTGACGTCATTCGCGAAGTAATAGTTTCCGTCAATAAATTTTCAAGTCTTGGCGCTAATCTGGACGCACTGTTTTTATTAGCATCAAGAATTCCTTGAGTAATAGCATTTACAAGAATCTCAAGAACATCTAAATCAATACATGATTCCTTCTCCTTTTCCCATCTCAAATCCACTACGCGTTGCATGGCACGAATTGTTTCGGAAAATTCACCTATATCAACGGCAGTATACATGTAATTTGTCCAAATTCTCCAGCTATCATATTTTTGTTTTAAACCTTGTTGAAAAGCATTAAATGCATCTACTTTGCGACCTTGTTTAAGAAATACTGATGCAAGATTGTTCCATGCTTCAGAGTTATCAGGATCAATAGCAATCGCTCTAGAAAAAGCTTGCAGTGAAATATCCCATTCTTCCACATGCATTGCTGCACAACCTTGAACAAACCAAGCATTTTCAAAAATCGGATTTACATTGAGTGCTTTTGTATAGCATTCAATTGACTTCCGATATTCCTTTTGTTTAAACCAGTATGCTCCGAGAGATCGCATAGCACGTCCATAACGATTACCTGATATGTCCCATGCATGCTCCCAGCGTTTCGGATTCTTTTCGACATCACCTAAAAGGCAATAAAGTTTTGGAGAATTTGGAGTAACATTCAAACGCTCAAGAATAATTCCTTTAGCTTTAAACTCTTTTTCAAGCATTATATAACAATTTATAATGTCCTCCCACATTTCAAGGCGTTCAAATATCTGTAAAGCGGATTGAACTACCCCCAAAGATAAGTATTGCAAAGCAAGTTCTTTTTCCATTTCCCACTTCGATGGTAAAAGGATTTGATAAAAGTAATTCAAACGTTCTTTCGCACTAGATAATTCTAAAGGAAATTGATCAACGAGCGCTTGAAGTTGAAGAACCGATCGTTCTACAGTTCGAGACTTTTCTTTTTCAAGGCGTGATCTGAGCAGAAGAGCCATCGTATAAACCATCCAGTTGTTTGGATTTTCAAGGACTCTTGATACAAAAGGCATCATTTGTTCAGTGGTTATGCCATGAGATGGGTTTGTGTTTTTTACATTCAAACAAAAAGCGAGTAGCAAGCATTGATCAATTATTTTGAGATTGCTTTTTGAATTTAATCCATTTTTATCATTATTTATTATTTCTGAAATTTCAACTTTCTCTAAAAGCGTGTCATCATTGAGTGATAGAGCATTTGGAACATTTTTTATTCCTGAACTTTCTAAATCATCATCTCTTTTAAATTCTACATCCTGACTGTTGGCAACGACTAACAACTGAGATACATCAAAAGTTTGAAATTTTGTTCGTTTTCCTAGCATTCCTGTAAGCATCCATTTAAAGCCACTTAATTCTTGAGCTTTTGTAAAATGTTCTTTGGCTAAAGAATCATGTCCATAAAAATGATTTATAATGCCATATTCTAAATGGAATCGAGTGTATATCTCAGTTGTCTTCTCCTCTGGAATCAAACTTGGAAGTGCATCGCTTGAAGATTGCAAATATTGTAACATTGTGTCGTGTAATGATCCACTAACATTATCAAGAATGCGCTGTTGTATGAACAAGACTCTTTGACCCCACCAGTGGATACTCTTCAGGTAGGTAAATAAAGATGAATTTTCAACCAATATGATTCTTGGGATCAACAGATACAAAGCGCGGGGAGTCAAATGATAAACATCTTCTCCATCAACTGATAAAATTTCATGAACTTTCCTATTCAATTCGGCGACACTGTACCGTTCTCTTATAGCTGCGGGAAGGATATCTTGCGGTTCCAGATCAAAAACAGGACCAGTCCAGCAGGTTTGTACGAAGGCATTTAAGGAAGCCACCGATACACAAAGTAAATATAACTGCTTGATGATTTGTTGTTTCTTAATTAGTTCTTGAAAAGAATCGTGATCAAACGAAAGATAACTTTTTATCCTAGTAGAAACATACGAACTAATATCTAATGTTTCCACAAATGTTTTTATATCTTGATCGTCGTTAAGTAATTCTATTCCAAGGATTTCTCGTGCAACCGCGCAAGTTAAGCTTTGTTTGTATTGACCATTAATAACTGTCGATGCCAAACCAATATCAAACGCGTCTTGTTCGAGCTGCGAGGAAACATTTTGGACAGGTGTGTTCAGTATCAGCGCCCATTCAAGTTTCTCAACGGTTTCTATGAAACGTTCCATTTTACAATTGTTAAAATTGCTGTGACGGAAGCAAAAAAATAATTCATTAAAATACTGGAATAAGTATGTATGTCCTATTCTTTATATAGGAGAATTTATCATGTGAACGCCGATTTTAGATATATCGATAATACTCATGCAATAAAATCATAATACCTGTCATGCTTTGCCACCTAAGTTATTTGACAGTCAGCTTTTCTTTCCCCCTTCACACTTCGAACACTTAATAGCCTTTTTCGTTTAAACGTTGAAGACATGGCCAAAGGTAGTCTTTCTTTTATTTAGCTCAAGGCTATATGCGTGGATTACTTTTTTTAAAAGATTTTATGATGAATATCGTTCCGATTGCGGATTTTTTACGACCAATATTATAAATTTGCATCTTAATACTTTCGATTGAATCTCTTTTGCAATGCTTAGTTCCACGCAACTTTAGATTACTTGAAGAATTGGAAAAGGGTGAAAAAGGTATTGGTGACGGTACATGCAGCTATGGCCTTTCAAACGGTGACGATATATATATGAGTGATTGGAACGGCACTATTATAGGGCCTGGTCATGTAAGTTATTAGAAAACAGTGTTCAATCATACATTTTAATCGCCAGAGGTAATAATGCTATGTTTTGTTGATTCTCGTATAGACCGTTCATGAAAATCGTATTTATAGCTTGAAACTCCATTGTGATGAGAATTATCCTGATTCTCCACCAACGGTGCATTTTCTTTCCCGAATCAATTTGCCTTGCGTTAATCAACAAACGGGCAAGGTAATTTAGCTGGAAAACGCTTTTTTATTTATTTTTATTTTTATTTATTTTTTTTTTATCTCTGCTATATTTCTTTTCATTCACATTAAACTTTTGTTTAGGTTGAATCTTCTAAATTGAGTTGTCTGGCTAATTGGAAAAGAAGTTATACGCTTGAGACCGTATTAACAGAATTACGTCGGTAGGTACTCAAGACTTAATTTTGATATTATTCACGCTTGTTCTTATTGAAACCACAATTTTATATAGCGAGATGTCAAACCCGCACAATAAGAAATTACCTCAACCTCCTGAAGGTTCTTTCTTCTGATTATCAGACAGTAAAAATATGATGAATATACATTATCATGGAATATTGGTAATTATCATAGAAGTACATTTGCTGCTTTCACTTGTATTTCGTATTATTAGATAAATGACAATTGCGAAACAAATTTGATGTGCATCTTTAATTTCTTTAATTTTTTCACTTAAATTAAAATATCAATTGCTACTTTATTATAATTTAAAGCTTTATTCGACATTATCATACATAGTCTAAATTTGTTTTAGGGTTCAAGTCGCTTTGGATCACGAGGGAATAATGAACATCTACGTATGTTGTCAAGATTTAGGTAAAGCATTACCACTCGTTCTAAACCTAAATTATATAGAATAATTATGATTAAATAAACTTAGTACAAATGCAATACAAACTGTAAAGTCATTTTTAAAAAATAAACTTACCAATACCACCGCCAGCATGGGGTGGCGCACCTCTTTTAAATGAATCAACATAAGCTTGTATAGTACGCAAATCGACGCCATGCAATTTTGCGCGTTCCTCTAATAATGTTGGGTCATGGACACGTTGTGCCCCTGAGAGAATTTCTTGCCCGCGCATGAAAAAGTCATATGAATTTGAATAGTTCTAAAAGAAAAAAATCATTTCCGACTTTTTAGATCATTAAAAACCACATCCTTCTATGTTTTTTTTTTGCCTTTTGTCTAAAGGTTCTTTTTAACATAATCCTATCGCACTGCAATTATTCCATTTGAGAATCTCCAAAGAAAAACCTGTCATCGGGGCTTTCAATTGTATTTTGTGCCTAGCAAATCAGATCCATAAGCAATAAACTTGTCCCGATGACAGGTTTTCCTTGGTGGCACTCGTATCATACTGTAAAGAATAGGAGCTTTATAAATTTATTTAATATAGTAGGTACCTTATCATTGGGATCTGGCATTGTATAAAACGGACGAACTTCCAATGGAAATTTATCAAGCATATAAAAATCGGTGTTGTATTTCTCTTTGACCAATTTTCCAAGAGTCCTCTCATTTTCAGTGCTAAATGCCGTTTATTTGAATGTTTTAAAAGATGTTTTAAAAAAAAAAAGAACGAAAGTAAAAAGTGAAAAAACAAACCTTAGATCTTCGAAATCACCTATTTCGATACCATGATCCCTTAATAATTGAACGGCCTCTTTGTACTCCAATCTTAATGTTTTTGGAAGGTATTCGAAATTTGTTGTTGGATATTGTCGTTTTACTGTCTCAATTTCAGAAGTAAATCTAGACTTTAAACCATCAAAAATGAATACAAATAGTTCATCGAGGATGTCAAGCACTTCATGATAATGCTCCTCAAAAGCCATTTCCAAATCGAGACCGACAAACTCTGTCATATGGCGATGGGTATTGGAATCTTCGGCACGAAATACTATATTAAAAGCGAATAAATTAAACTGTACAGATATTGAATAATTAGATACAATGAATATAAGATAACGCTATACACCTACCGGGGGCTATTTCAAATACACGTTCAAAATCGGAACAAATACACATTTGTTTATATAATTGAGGTGATTGCGCCAGATATGCGTTTCCTAAGTTTCGTATTGCACAATATATAGACATACAGTAAGGTATGTATACAAATAAATGATACTAGCAACTTGCAAAATAATATATAACTCACCCTTGAAATATTTTATTTCGAACACATTTGCACCGCCTTCACTAGATGCACCAAGTATCTTTGGGGTGTGAATTTCAATAAACGATTTTGATAACAAAAATTCGCGAAATAATTGACAAACTCCAGATTGAATTCTGAAAATTCCGTGATTTGCAGTAGTCTATATATACGATAATATTGTTTAATTAATATTGATTCGTTGGCTGACCGTTGATCATCACGTGTTTGTAAACACGTATAACTTGAAGTTATAGAGTAGAAACCCCCAACTTACACGAAGATCTACTATACGGTTATTTAATCTAGTTTCCAAAGTTACGCGACTAAACTGAGTATCCTCCTGAACGAAAATAATGTATTTATGAGGATTATGGTGAATAATCAACAAATTATGATTCTAGATAATCTTTTTACTTTGTTTATTTCCTCTTCACATCTTGATGCATCTTCTAAAGAAAATGGAAGACGACCGAGAGTTTCGTGAACCACATAAAGCTGAAATAACAAATTTTAATGTTAATAATAAAATGTCAAATTCCAAAACAACAGCTGATCAGTAAAATCCATCAACCTTTCTTATCTGTAATTCTGCATCAGACACTGTAGTACTCTTTATTTCTTCATTTGGTTTGCTTACAACACCTTCAACGATGACAATCGATTCATCTGGGACACTAGTCAGTGCAATATTATCATCATTAATGTAACCCAAGTTATAAAACGAATTGAAAAAACAAATGGAATATATACTTGGCAGCAAACTTAACAAAACCTTTGCTAACAATTTTTTCGTCAACTTGAAGAACCCCTTGAATTGTGGAGTCTTGGTGTCGAAAGACGAAAAACCCGATTTTACCTAAAAAGATCATTAGACTATAAGATAATGTATATATACATATACATAATTCTCCCATAACTAAAAATAACACATACCAGTTACACGTGAGGTATGCACACGAGCTCTGATACTAACAGTTTCTCCAGCACGACTAGCGTTGATATCGGCAATCCGAGTTCTTTGAACACCTACACATAATATAAGTGAAACAATTCGCAAAATAATATTCTCCTGAGTTTAGACTCACACCTGTTCTCTCTTGTGATTGGTTTAAAGGAAGCTTGCCATAGTTTTCTGAGCCATAGTTCTATTAAATGGAATAATATCAGTTTTCAGCCAACCAAGGCATATCATGAAATTTTTTATTTTTACTTCTGCTGCTTCTCGACGAATTCTTTCTTCGGCCTCTTTTTGCTCGCGTTCCTTTTTCTTTCGTTCCTTTTCCTTTTCCTTCTCTAACTTCTTTAATGCTTTTTTGGAAGGTGGAGCTCCTTCTACGTCATGCTCTTCCTTCATTGAATGCAAAGTAAAAAGTGACCGTTTTTACAATATGATTTTTGTGGCTATGCCGCGGAAATTCAAAAAGTTTCCGTGGCTTATTTCACGTGATAATCGTGAACAATTATTTGATTTTTTGCATACCTAAATCAAAAGTTTGAATTAAAACCAAAAGCAAAAACAGAACCAAAAAAAACGAAGTGAATATATGCTAATTGATGTAGAAAACTTTATCAAAATTTTTACGTATAAGTAAAAAAATAGCTCTACTTAGTAAGCAAAGCCTATTAAGTAAAATTTGTTTTTTTTGTCTAATTTGCCTTTATTTACTGTATATTACATAGTGATAATGTATTGTTTAGGCAATTATATAGAGAGAAATTAAATTCACAAATGAGTTTATTAGTAAATATATTATACTGTATCAAGCAAATTTATTATTTTTTAAGCTATATATTTCTTAAATTATAGGCAATTTTACTAAAAAATTGCTATAAATTTGCTTATACAGTATTGTAATTTATTTTTTTAAAAATTTAAAATATGGTATTTAATAAAATTTTTTTTGATAATACTAGCTGAAAACCCGTGCAATAATGCACGGGTATAAATATATATAATATATAGAATAAATAATAAAAATAATTAATCAATAAAATTTTTTTTTTTTTTTTTTTTTGACAATCATGTCACAACTTTATTTTATATTATAAGATTTATATTTATAAAAAATGTGATATCTATTTATAGCTATGCTATTTTAAACTAAAGTGTGGCTCATCTGGTTGCCAATTGGTACCTATGTGCGACTTGCCAAAGTAGAATTAACCTTGCTACCTTTTCCTTATCTACCTCAAATAGAGAAAATGTAGTTCATCGGCCTGGATCTGCAGCCTGTCATGATTTAACTTAATTTTTGTTTTACCTGGACCACCTTCTGGCCCATATCTATTTGTTTACCTCCTCCGTTACTAAATTCACTTTTTCTTTAAAATTGTCCAGAAAGTTTTTTCCTTTTTTCCTCCTCTTAAGTCTTTCCTTGCTAGCGTTCGGTAGATCTCTCTGATCGGGTACGCTTGTCCTTCTGGTATTCTTTATTGCCTGGGGCCTTTTCTCTTTTTTCTTTTTGGAGTTTATTTGCAACTCTTTTTCCCATTTTACAGTTTCTTCATATCGTTGGAGCCAGATTTCTTCTTGAAAGAAGCTGTGCCACTTGTTCCACTATTCGAGTATTATTAGTTCTGTATCTTTTTTGGTGATTCCTGTTGATATAAGTGAGGCTGATAGGTCTGTATCAATTAGTCCTCTTGCCAGGTAGTATCTTTTCTTATATCAGTCTCTGGTGCTTCCATCCGCAAATGCCGAGTAGATGTTGTTTTGAAAGATTTTCTTTTTTACGAAGTCCTCAAAGTTTCCCCATATTTTTTTTGCAATTGAATATTCTTTTTCTACCTAGTGTTGTTCATCTATTTCACAGGACGTTAGGTGTTCGAAGTTTTCCTCTTTCTTTTTACATTTTTTGCAGATTGCTATTGGGTATAGATCTTCGCGGTTTCTTTTATATAGATACAGTGTAGACAATAGTCCACTTAGACTCTTTAGTCTGAAGCTTCATTTTTTATTCGCTTTAAAGGATCTTGCTTTTCCTTTTTTTTCTTTTTTCCACAAATTTCTAAATATTTTCCAATCCTGGTTGTCGATTCTCCTTTGATGAATGCTGTCCTTTTGGCTTGAAGCAAATAACCAGTCTGCTTTGTGAAATGTTTGGATAAGTATTTTGATGAAGCTTCATATTGAAGCATCGATTGGTTGCATATTCCAGGTTGGTCTGAGTGTTATTCCCTGTATCTCGTTTACTGTAAAGGAAGTTATTTCTCTTTCTTGTGAGCCTTTTTTTGCTGCCTTGTTCGCTAGATTATTTAAGATATCACCTGCATGTGCTTTTACTTTGTGAAGTTGAATAGATATATTTTTAGTATTTAGCAGTTTAATAATAGTACCCAGAATGCTGGAGTTTTTTGC